TAGAGCTTAGTGCTGAACTACGCAAACAATTAGGTGTTTCTTCAGTAATCCAAAGGGGCTGTGTGACAAAGACCGATAATTATAAGAGCAGCAACTGAGATGGTGATCAATGAATAAATTAGAAAGTTTATATTAAAAAAGCCATAACATAGAAAATAATTAACGGCAAAAAAAAGAAGGAAAAAGAAAGCATTTATCCATCCCGTCAGCAATGTCATTATCAACAATTATGACATAAGCTATAAATTTCTGTAGATTTCAACGTTTTTACTGTTCTCATTCGTGCTTGATTAATTTCAAAAAACAAAAAATTATTGCCAATGTTTATAAAATGAAATGCAAATATACAATTTATACAGTTATACATGACGTATATAAAAGACTTAAAAACAACCAAGGATAGACATTATAATTTATGGAACGATTTGGTTCAGTAATGTTAAAGTCTCGTATTGCATGGTCGAGATTATAGTCGTTGCATTTTGTTGTATTACAGCAACAGAATCTGAAAATATTTACTGTTTCAATTGCATTATATGTTTTCGAAGAAAAAAAAAACAGTTCTACTGATCTTAATTTTTAGTGTAATAAACATAATTTTAACTACCGAAAGACACTCTTACTTTGTACATTAAAAGTGCTGCTCTTAACCTGATAATTTCACCTCAGTGAAACAATTACTTTAAAAAACTTCATTATATTTCTGCAAAAAATTTCTTTTGATAATTTGACGAGATTCTTTTATTTCCCACTTGTTTTTTTTTCCAGAAGTAAATTTTTTTGCATATATTTATTCATCATATCTGTAAGAAAGCCGGTAGCAACAAAAGCAGAAGAAAAACTGAAATTTCTTCTTATTTTTTCTTTAAACGTTCAAAAATTCCTCTTCACTTTATTATTTTCTTGTTCAATTTATTAACGAATGGCTCTTCAGTTTTTTACCAGCTTCAAAAATCCTTGTCAGCTTTAGGATGGAAAAAAAATGAAATTTACTTATATATATATATATATATATATATATATATATACGTATATATATGAAAAAGACCCCTTATAATAATGACAACAGCAACAGCAACAGTGATTAAGAAAATGATAAGAAGAAAAATGTTCATAAATAAATAAAAAAAAATTTCTTCATTTTTGCTTTTCTTTTTCCATTGACAACTTATCAAGAAGGAAAAAACGGGCAAAATTGACAAAAGAACCTATCAACCTTTCAATATAGTCTCTTCAATCAACAAACTTTTTATGTCTAAATTGGTTTTTCTAACCCAGATACTTATTCACCATTCAAACTCAAACTTTCTTTCCTCCGCTGCATATTTCACTTCGTTCTATTTTTATTTTTTCAACCTTTTAAGAAATTTTTTAAAAAAAAAAGAGACGAAGAAAAGGCTTTTTATATTGTTCAAATTCGAACGGTTTTTTGAAGTCAAAGTGATGAGTGGATCATTCATGTTCATACTGTTCATTGTTAACAATCAACAGTTTAATTTTTGCTTCTAACTCCATTTTTTGATATTTTTCACCCCCTTCAATAAGTGTTTACTTAAACACTCAAGAAAAACAAGAAGATTTACTTTAAACAAAGGAGGGAAAAAAGTGAAAAAGAAGAAGGAAAACAATACAAAAATAGAAAAGTTTCAGTTTACACCTATGTTTGTAAAGCTGACACCGTGCAGTTTTTACCAGTTGATATGGTCAACTGTAAAAACGAGTGGTCTAGTCAAAAAATTAGCTGATGATGTACGATTTTCTTAAACGATGCTTTAACGATTGTGAGATTAGCTGTGAACAAGAAGAAAAATTTAGAGGAAAAGAGATAAGGTTACAGAGATGTGGGGAACAACAAATGCAGTAGCAGCAACAGTATCACCTCAGCGATGGCAGCAACTGATGATGGGGAAGAAAGAATTGAATTCAAACCTGGAATGTAATATTTGGTCAATACGTTTCTGATAGGTTTTGGCTTGCTGAGCAAAGAATGTTTGCCGTACTTTTTCATCCAAATCTGGTAACGATAAGCAATTGGGATAGAAACCACGAAATGTACATTCCACGTAATGGGCACAAAATCGATCAAATATGTGATCAATTTCACCGGTAGTCCAACGTACCGTATAGTATTCGCTGTAACAAACCTGAAAAAAGGAACAAAGTGAATAAATAACAGCACAGTATTTTTTTTTTATTAATTTTTGACTTTTTTGCATTCTATCTGGGAGGGATGGGAGGGGGTAGGAAGGATGGAGGTAGGAAGGATGGGGGTAGGAAGGACGGGGGTTTAGTTACTTCCCCGTTTCTATTCTGCACTTTTTTCTTTTCCTATTTGTATTCTGATGCTAACATTTTATGGCATAATTTATACAAAAGGCATATATTTAATTAAGCTGTACAAATCTTATATAAACGACGACAACAACAACAGTAATTTTAGGACAATTAGTGTCGTTGTCAAGTCAAAAAAAAAAAAAGTTCAGCTGATATAAACAATGAAGAATGAAGAAAAAAAGCACATTAAATAATTGCTTGGTTTTTTCCTTTCATCTTAAATTTGCAAATTTATCTAATATAATCAGCAATTGTTTTAATTCCTTTTTTTTCTGTTTTTTCTTTTTTGCATTGGAATACCGCAAGTGATCTCTGAATTTTCTTGGTTTCTTTTATTCTCCTGGTTCGCCACTGGGCAACAAGCGAAAACAGGCATTATCTTGTCAAAGGTGTCTAGGATGTTCAGTCTAAGGAACACCTGGTCTACTAAGTATATAGCTAAAATGAAAAAAAAAAAAAAAAAAAACAAGAAGCATTACTGTTGGTTGGCTAATTGATAGGCATTTGTGGTGTTTTTCGTATTTCTTTTTCTTTTTTACTTTTTTATTTCTGTACTTTTTTTGCTCTGAATTTTATATACTCAAATAATCGTTTTTTGGTTTTTAATCATTCTTCTCAGTTTATCTTCCTATGTTTTCTTCTTTTCTTTTTTTGCGTTCTTCTTTTGACTTTTATAAGAATAATTGAAACAGCAGCAGCAGCAACAGCAACAAAAAAAAAGCATCGTGCTGCTTTTTTTTGCTTTTTTTTTTAAGTGATTGGAACAAGCAAAAAAAAAAGCAGGAGAGATTTTTGTTGTTTTTGTTTTTATGGTAATTTAATAGAAAAAAAATTTCAATATAATCGACTATAAAAAAAAAAGGAGAAAATAGAGAGAGGAAAAAAATCTTTTGGTTGTCTATGCCGGAAAATGAATAAAAATTGTTGTTGGATGAATGTAATTTGAAACCGCAAAAATTTTTGGCATTTTAGAATTATTAAATTGCTGCTGATTTTAGGCTTTTTTTTCTTTTTATTTTTTTGAGAAGATAAAAACTTTTTTACACATATATTTTTTTGTTATTATTTATTTTGTTTGTTTTTGTCTAATTTAATCTTTCACTGAAAGCAAAAGAAAAAAATTTTTTCAGAATAAATAGTAAGATAAAAAAGTAAAATTTCTTCTAAATTATTGATGAAAAAGAAAAAAAACAGTTCTACAGTAATACCAATGATAATTTTTTCTGTTTCTTATCATCAACCAAATAAATAAACAGATAGAAAAAAAAGAACAGATTGAAATTGAAATGAAATGGAAATAAATGAAACAATTAAATCACAACAAATTATTCTATTCAATTTAACTTAATTTTTTCTCTCTTATTCTTTTCTCGTTTTCTAAACTGCAAATTTTCAAATCTTATAGCAGCTAAGAACACTGAAAAATTACTTCTAATCAATTCGGCTATCCATCATTTTTTGATCATTGTCGTTGACAGCATTTACTAATTTTCAGTACACTAAACTGAACAGCAAAAAAAAAAAAAGAAATTCTCAATTTTTAGTGGATAAAAATTGATTTTTGATAAAACAAAAACAAAAATAAAAAAGAAACAAAAGTAAAATCTTAAATTTTTTCTTCTTTTTAATTTATCATTTTTATTGTCGCTTTTCTTTGTTTTATTCATGTCTTTTCCTATTTGTTTTTATTTGGATTACTTTACTGTGTTACTATTGTCACATCACTGAGAAGTTCAACAAAATTTCCCAGCAAATTGACGAAAAAAAAAAGAAATAAAAACGAAGAGAAAAGGTGACAATTAAAATTTCAACAACATATTTACGGATTAATATACAAAGCAAAAATTTTCTCACTATTTTTTCAGACATTAATAATTTATTCAAACGAACAAAATTGCTAATTTTTTTCTTCGTTTTCGTTTATAGCTTTATATTTTTTGTGATCTTTTCTTTTTTAAATATTATCCTAACAGAAATAGACATAAAATAATGGTTTTTCTTCTTTTGAGTAAAAATTTAATCTAAATTTACAACGACGGTTGAATTCTGCTGAAAAGAGTAGCTTTTTTTGTGGTATTGTCTTTCACCAATTTTTTTTTTTGGGTTGTCTCCTTTTTCATCTCCTCTGTGCAAAAGGAAGCGAAGCCGAGGTGTAAGAGAAGAGTATAGGGCACGGAATGGGTAATGTGGGGGATGGGGTGATACGGAGAAGGAAATGTGGAAAAACGGGCTGATGCGATAACATTGCGGGGAAGGGAAAAAACGGGATAAATCGATCACTAAACGATTTTTTTCCCCCTCATTTTTTCCCAATTAAGCATTATAGCAACAAACAATTTTATTTTCATACTTACATTATTTTTTTTGTTCTTTTTTTTTCTCTAACTTTTATTCAAAATTCCAAACAGAGAAATACCTAAACATGTATACATTTTTTTCCTGCTTCTTCACCAATTTTCTAAGTTTTTTTCGCTTTTTTTTATTTCCAGTCTATTACACCCCTTACATTTTCCGCAATAAACAGATAAACAAATAGGCAGACATGTTGTTGTTGGATAGACATCTATAAACAAATAGCTGTATAAATATGCAGATAAACAAGCAAAAAAAAAAAAGAAAAAAAAACATGGATAAGCGTAGACGTATAATACATCAAGATAAAATATTTAAAGTTAAGCAAGAAGAAAAAAAAA